TCGAGTTGCCAGCAGCCTGTGCCTACCTCTTATTTGTAATTCGTAATTTCGAGATGATAATGAGCCCGATATACACTTAACACCTTTACCTTTCAAACACCTGCAAGCCCCTTATCGTTTTCAATATCCGGAAAATTTTATAGCTCTGTTAAAAACCTGTGGCCCTTTTAATGTATTCCTTTTTAGATTAGATGATAACGCATTAGAAGGTCTAGATGTTTTTAAATATTTTTGAATAAAACAAACTTTGGAATGATCTTTACTGCTGATATAAAAGAGAAATTGAAGAAGGCTGTGTAGAAATGAGTAAAAAACAGTATAACCAGAATATATTAGTTTATAAAAGACAAATTAATATATGCTAATGATTAATAAATAACTGTGCATGTAAAAATGGTCACATATTCACCAAATATGATCATCAAAAGTCAATTTCTAATTATGTCTTTATTAATTTTTTAATTTTTAATTTTTTACACACCGGAGGGACCGCAGACGTTCGGATACAATTAGCGTCTCTTAGCAAAGACAATGACGTCGACTTTGCTAAGTATCAAGACAATTACTCTACACCTACACACACACACTACACTACCTTATTGTAAAACACTGTACCATGCCAATGACCATTAGTTGTCGACGCATTAAACTCAATAAAAAAAAAAAAAAAATTTTTTAATTATTTACACAATTACAAAATGTGGATCGAGAAAATATATCAGTGGAAAAATTATACCAGAAACTTAATAAATGCATTCATGAGGCTGCAAGTGAAGCTTTGGGGTATAAAGACAAACATGAAACAAAAAATCAAGAATGGTGGTCGGACAATATGCAAACGTTAGTAAACAAGAAGAAAACTGCTTATCAGAAATGGATGCCAACGAGAAACGAGGAAGATTACAAGATATATAAAAAATTAAATCGAGATGTAAAAAGAGAAGTAGTGAAAAATAAAAATGAGATGTGGGATCGAAGATATGCAGAGGTGGATAGGTATATGGATGGAACAAGAGTTGGGCAGGCATGGAAGGTGATAAAATCTCTCAGGAGGACAGGGAAAATCTAACTTACAGTTAATAGATCTGAAGTGGAAACACCATTATGAGGTCTTACTGACAGAGGAGATTCCAAGTAAAGAGGTATTCCAGAGGTAAATTCCAAGAGATCGAAATATTGTCCATGTCTATTGTCCATGTAATATTGTCTATCTTCCAAGAGAAGAAATATCCGAACCTACACAAATAATTGAGATAACAACCGGAGAGTTAAGCGATGCCCTCAAAAGATCGAAGAACGGTAAAGCAGCAGGACCTGGAGACATCGCAATTGAGTTAGTAAAGTATGGACCAAAAATATTACATGAGATGTTGGTTCAACCATTTAACAAATGCTTAAAAGGACAAAATATCCTTGATGATTGGAATGTTGGATATATCAGCTCAATATTCAAGAAAGGGGATAAACGCAAATGCTCTAATTATAGGGGAATAACTGTTATCAGCTCAGTGTGGAGATTGTAAGATTGAATAATAAAAGAAAGAATATAATCAGAATACGAAGAACAAAATGGATTTCGTGCAGGAAGATCGTGCACTGATAGTATATTCGTTCTCAGCAGGTAATCGAAAAACAAAAGGCAAGGAATCTATCTACCCACATATTGTTTGTAGATTTAGACAGAGGGCATACGATACGGTACCTTTGAAAAAACTGTTTCAAACATTGACGAAAGTACGTTTCAGTATGTGGATGCTATCGCAAATATATACAAAAATGCAAGAAGTGTCGTTAAAGAAGGAAACTTTATATCTGAACCATTTCCAATAACAAAAGGGCTTAAACAAGGATGTATTTTTGAAGTGTGTATATTTTAGGCAATTCCTAGCTGAGCGCTTTCGGCTTTACAAAGCCATCATCAGAGCTATGCTACAATAAAATGTTCTGGTAAGTACTAATTGGTAAAGATTGTAATTTTTAACTTACGTCAATTTTTAAATACCACTACAAAGGAGAGATCTCATTTCCTTAAGTTTCAAAATTATGATTTTTTGTAGGAGTTGGAATTCTTAAAACATATAAAAAACATATAAAAAGTCGACACTGGACTTCACAAACACGTTAAAAAATTGAAAAAATTTTTGTCATGGTACGGGTTTAAGACCCGACCATCTATTGATGTGAGGACGTAGACTGAATAGAACTAGTGAAATCAAATGTCGGTCCTTTTAAACGATTTTTCAAAAGTGACAGGTGACAAATGTCATATATAGGAAATAGAGATTGTTTTTTTAAATTCTTACAAAATTATTTAGTAGTTTGGAATACTACTAGTCAACAAAGACTTTCTAAAAAATTAAGTTTTTAAATTAAATTTTATGTGTTCATCACATCATACAGAATGAAATTAATTTGTAAATTCACTCAAGTCATTGCTCAAGGTCAATGTATGTTCAATCTGACAGCTATCCTTAAGGAACAAGGGCTCAAATTGTTCAACAACACTATAAAGAAGAAACCTGGTATTAATGTTATGTTATCTGATACTTAAGTGTATTAAGAATTGTATGTCTTGATGAAAAATTGTAAGAACTTTGCATAAAAAATTTTTTTAAGAATGTATTTTCATGTTTCAATTAAGAACAACTGTCAAATGAATTACAAAATGTTGTAAATTTTAATAAAGTTTAAAATTTGTTTAAAAAATAAAAGTATGAAAAATATATAACAAGATTGCATGAGGTCACCCTTCTTCCTCTAAAGTCTCCCATAATAATTTAAAAAGAGGTTTATAGTTGCAATTGAGGTTGATTTGTGTGTTTAAGCAACAATCAGGGTTTATTTTCATTTCTTTGGATATCTCTAGATCTTCTAAGAGATTCATGAGTCTAAAGTTTTTATTGGGAATGTTGTGTAAAATTTTACTGTTTTCAGAAGGAGAAAAAGAATGATTATTAAATTTAATGTGATATCCAAAGTTTGATTTTTCTGGGTTATTGAGGTGTTCTTTGATTCTTTGATTCAGAGTTCTCATTGTTCTACCTACATAAGTCATATTACAGTCACCACAGGACAGCTTGTAAATACCACTTCTGTTTAGTTTGTCAACTTTGTCTTTGGTCTTGCTGAAGATGGACTTGATGTTATATTTGGTTTTAAAGGAGATGTTTAAGTCATTAATTTTATTAACAAGTACTCTTGAAATTTTTTCTGAAATTGGTCCTAAGTAAGTTAAGGATCTATATATGGAAGTAGTGTTGGATTTGTTATCAACATTAAAAGCTTGGTTTAGTCTCTTTTTGAGTATAGATTTTCTAATGACTTTATCAACAGTAGTAGAAGGAAAACCATTGTTGTTTGCTATCTGTTTAATGATGGAGATTTCTTTATTGTAATTTTCTTGAGACATAGGGATATTAAGAAGTCTGTGGACATAACATTGAATAGCTGCCATCTTGTGTTGAAAAGGATGATTTGATGATGTTGGTATCATATGGTCAGTTTGGGTAGGTTTTCTGAATATTGAAAATTCTAGTGTAGGCAAAGAAGAAAAGGAGGAAGTATTCTTTTTGATAGTTAGGTCTAAAAAATTGATAATGTTGTTACTTTTTACTTCTAAGGTAAAATTAATTGCAGGATGTAGATTATTAATTATTGACAAAATATTGTGAGGTTCTGAAGGTGGGCCTTCTATAAAGGCTAAAATGTCATCCACATATCTGTACCATAGGATTATTTGTGGTTGAGAATGAACAAAGTTAGTTTCGAGTAATTCATTTGACAGTTGTTCTTAATTGAAACATGAAAATACATTCTTAAAAAATTTTTTATGCAAAGTTCTTACAATTTTCCATCAAGACATACAATTCTTAATACACTTAAGTATCAGATAACATAACATTAATACCAGGTTTCTTCTTTATAGTGTTGTTGAACAATTTGAGCCCTTGTTCCTTAAGGATAGCTGTCAGATTGAACATACATTGACCTTGAACAATGACTTGAGTGAATTTACAAATTAATGTCATTCTGTATGATGTGATGAACACATAAAATTTAATTTAAAAACTTAATTTTTTAGAAAGTCTTTGTTGACTAGTAGTAATTCCAAACTACTAAATAATTTTGTAAGAATTTAAAAAACAATCTCTATTTCCTATATATGACATTTGTCACCTGTCACTTTTGAAAAATCGTTTAAAAGGACCGACATTTGATTTCACTAGTTCTATTCAGTCTACGTCCTCACATCAATAGATGGTCGGGTCTTAAACCCGTACCATGACAAAAATTTTTTCAATTTTTTAATGTGTTTGTGAAGTCCAGTGTCGACTTTTTATATGTTTTTTATATGTTTTAAGAATTCCAACTCCTACAAAAAATCATAATTTTGAAACTTAAGGAAATGAGATCTCTCCTTTGTAGTGGTATTTAAAAATTGACGTAAGTTAAAAATTACAATCTTTACCAATTAGTACTTACTAGAACATTTTATTGTAGCATAGCTCTGATGATGGCTTTGTAAAGCCGAAAGCGCTCAGCTAGGAATTGCCTAAAATATACACACTTCAAAAATACTTTTTTGCATTTTCTTTCGACTTGTCATAAGTGTGTACAAAAAAAAAATATCAGTCTTTTGATTTTTAAACAAGGATGTTGTCGATCTCCGATCTTATTTAAAATATATTCAATCATAATATCCGGAATGGAAAACGATGTAGGCGTTGGTAAATGTCTAACAACTTTATTTTTCGCAGATGATCAGGTAGTCGTAGCGAATGATGAGGAAGACATGGACTACGTGTTTAGAAAATTAAAGAAAGAATATGAAAAACGGGGCGTCAATATGAATATGTCAAAGTCAGAGTATCTTTACCAAAAGAGACATCGAAAACAGAACACAGCAAGGAAAAAAAGCGTAAACATTTTAAACTCTCTACTATGGTCTAAAGATACTAGACAAGAAAATGACAATCTATCGAACCTTGGTAGAGCCTATTATGACTTATGCGGCAGAAGTTTGGCAGATCACGAAAAAAGATAGAAAAAGAATAGAAGTAGTAGAAATTGATTTTCTAAAGAGGGCGTGTGGTGTATCCAAAAAAGATCATATCAGGAATGAAGATATTAGAAGGAGGGCAAATACTATATATTCCAGTGTAGACAGAATTGAAACGAGAAAACTAGTGTGGTATGGTCACGTGAAGCGAATGAACGAAGATATATGGCCAAAAAAAGCTTTAAATTACATACCGCAACAAAGAAGAAGAAGGGGAAGGTCTTCAGTTGCCTGGGAAGAAAATGTACAACACATAATGAGAGATAGACCCATCAAAGAAGACGAATGGGTAAACAGAAAACGATGGCGGTTGAAATGCGAGAAGCGGCAGAGGCTGTAGGAACCTCGCTTATAGATAAATAGATACACAATTAGATGCTTGAAAGAATAAACTTATTTTACAAAATATTAATAACAAAGAGAAATATGATATGTGAAAAATAATCCCGGAAAATATATTTTAAATTGAGAACATTTTTGTATTTCAGTGAATATTAAAATATATTTAGAAGAGGTATACTTATTCCAAATGTTGAGGTTCTTAAGGGATTATATTGTTCTTTTTACGCTGCTTCTCCGGGCTTATAAGAACATAATTTTATAAAGTAAATATAGGAAACCCCCATAAAATTATTAGACCCTCCGAGATCAAACTGGCCACCGGCATTCTTTGGAGATCTGTAAACTGACCACCTTGATAGGTTAACTCATCACTAGGATTTTTGCATAAGACGCTGATTTTTGGTGCAGAAGATTGCCTGTTAAAATACCGTTACAGTTTTTTATGTGGTGATCTAGTGAATTTAGAAATTATTTTAAGCAATTGCTTTAAAATGTTATTGATATATTTATATCGCATGTCTCACGGTGAGTGACCCATTAGACATACCTGCCAATGTAAACGGATTTAAGATCTGAAAATTTAGCTGCATAGGATTTCAATACTGAACTTTTTAATGAAAATATTTTTAAGTACGTTTTTCTGTTGTTATACCGGAAATAGTCCCGTGTACTTCGATGTTTGATTTGCATTAAATTTTCAATTTCTCGTTAATTCGCATACGATAAGGTACATTTGATAGGGTTCAACACGATTTTAGCTGTTTGAGTATCTAGAAATGGCTGAAAGAAATTATAGAGACCTAATGTTTATAAAACATTTATCTTGGATAAAAAAGCCTCTGTTCTAGTGGACCATATTAAAAACGAAAAAGTTTTCATTGAAACAGGAGTTCTTTTGTTATACTTTAGGCATATAATAAAAGCTAGCAGATATTGGATACTTCAGTTCATACTCAAAGAAAGGCTATAAGGACAGATTGAAATTTTCATGAAAATAACGATACATCTGTCTATATACCTATCTTAAAATATAAATTGGAAATTTAGGTTGCAGGAACTCATAACTTAACATCTTACATATTGGTTATTGCATAACTGTAGTAAAAAAAATAGAAATAAATATTTTCTTAAATAAAGTAATATTTACTCACCAAGCATTCGCTGCCATTCCGAAGTAGTACAAAAGGAGGAAGATGAAAGCACAATTAATGTTGGATAAACCATCTTCAGGCGATTTTGGACAAGACATCGTTATTCTTCCAGAAAACATTCTTAAAGCCCAGCCTGTGCTTAACAAAACGTAGCAGAGAGCTAAACTGAGAAGGGGCCTTGCCTTTACGCGACCACCACCAATGGTTAATGTCATTGCTGCTCCTAAGCTTATTATAAGGCAAATGAAACCCCATACAGTTACCCACACCTGAAACAAAAATATTTGAATTATTTTAGGTAAAAGCATGTGATTAGGTATTTTTTTAGTTTTTTAATATATTTAATAAAAAGAAATAAGCAAATAATAGCTATTAACCTAGATAAGCTTAAAGAAGAATCCACTAGTAATAAAATACGGGAAGAAATACATAGACACTTGAGTAACAGAACAGTACGATCGACACAAACTCCCGATGAAGAATGGCACTATATTGAGAAAACGCTTACAAGAGTAACAGAAGACTACCTCAAACAAGATACACGAAAAAAGAACAAACCATGGATGACAGAAGAAATTCTAAACATGATGGACGAAAGAAGAAGATACAGAGGTAAAAATGAAACAACATACAAGCAAATACACAAGAATATCAGAATAAAGATCCAACAAGCCAAAGAAACCTGGCTAAGTGAAAGATGCCAAGAAATTGAAGAGTTGGAACAAAGACATGATACTTTCAATCTACATAAAAAAGTAAAAGAAGCCGCTGGAATATTTAAACAAACTCCTACGTCTTTCATCGAAGATAAACATAGGAACCCGCTACTGAACATAGAAGATCAAATAGGTAGATGGAAAGAATACGTGGAAGAGATGTTTCAAGACCGAGAGAGGACGAACATTTACATGCAGGAGGCATCGACTGGACCTTATATCACAAAGCAAGAAATTATCAAAGCAGCACATCAGTTAAAGAACGGAAAAGCTGTTGGGGAAGATAATATCCCAATTGAAATAATAAAGATATTACTAGACTAACACATCGAAGCAATGGAAGATATATTTAACAAAATATACGAAACAGGCATAATACCAAATGATTGGCTGACATCGGTGTTTATACCACTACCAAAGAAGAGAAACTCCAAGAAATGTGAAGACCATAGGATTATTAGCCTGATGAATCATATGTTGAAGCTTTTCTTACGAGTAATACACAATAGAGTATACAATAAACTAGACGAACACACTGGTCAAACTGAGTTTGGTTTTAAGAATGGGTTCGGAACAAGAGAAACACTTTTTTCAATACGTGTGCTAGTTGAAAGATGTAGAGATGTCGATTCTGATCTGTGTTTTATAGACTTTCAGAAGGCGTTTGACCTGGAAACATGATAAACTAATAGATATTTTAAGGTCATGTAATATCGACGATAAAGACTTAAGGATCATTTCAAACCTCTACCAAGAACAAAAGGCTAAAATAAGAATAAAAAGCGAAACATCTGGAAAAATCAATATCGAGAAGGGAGTAAGACAGGGATGTGTCCTATCACCTTTGCCGTTCAATGTTTACTCTGAGAAGATATTTCAGAAAGCTTTGGAAGGCACCTCGGATGGTATAATTATAAACGATCAATGTATAAATAACCTGCGATATGCTGATGACACTGTCATACTGGCAGATAATGCTGAAGCCCTGCAACGCTTAATGGACCGAACAACGACAGCCTGTAGAGAATTTGGAATGAAATTGAATACAAAGAAGACAAAAACGATGGTCATCAGCAAGCACCAAAACAGAAGGATGAAGGTCAATGTCGACGGAACAGATCTGGAAAGAGTAACAAGAACAACGTACCTTGGAAGTAATCTTGATGAAACTTGGGACCACTTACTAGAGATAAGAATACGCTTGGAAAAGGCACGTAAAATGTATTACAAAATGCAAAAAGTTCTATGCAACCGCCAGCTGAGCATTTCATTGAGAACTAGAATACTTAAGTGCTATGTTTTCTCCACCTTGCTCTATGGTGTTGAAGCCTGGACAATGACAGAAGCAACACAAAAAAGAATCCAAGCATTCGAACTCTGGTGTTACCGTAAAATGCTCAGAATATCCTACATGAGCCATACGACAAATGCGGAAGTCTTGCGGAGGATGAATAAGGAAAGAGAGCTTATGCTTATAATAAAAGAACGGAAAACACAATATTTTGGTCACATCATAAGAAATCAGAAGTATGAACTGCTCCAACTTATAATCGAAGGCAAAGTCAATAGCAAAAGAGGTCCAGGAAGAAGACGCAACTCTTGGCTTAAAAACCTACGGCAATGGACGAACATGACCTCCATAGAACTATTCAGGGCTGCTACAAATAAGATTAAATGGGCAAATGTAATGGCCAACGTCCTTAAGGATAAGGCACCGTAAGAAGAAGAAGAAATATATTTAATATTGTAACGTCAAATCGATTTTCTTTTACCAAATAAGAGATCATTGCAGGTTAATACTCTTGTAAATAAACAGCTAGGGAAAAGCACCGTGGTTTGCTAACCTATATCTCCTTATATTTCTGTTATTCCATATTTTAGCGAGGATGAACTGCCATGCCAATCTGAATACATCGTGAAATTTCCTGTTTACTGTTCCAGCAACCAAAGATTCGTAAAAGAGGCGACAGAAGAAAGTGCTCCAACTACAGAGAATTAAATATAACAAACTCCGTTTCCAGATTTTACTGAAAGATTATGAAAGAACGAATATAGAATCAAGGTATGTATGAGAAGGAGCAAAGTGGTTTTCATTCAAAATCTGTTTTGTCCAAAACTAAAATCAATAAACATGTTTTAAAAATACGTTACTTTTAAAGGAAATGGGTTTTGGAAAGGTTGTAGAAGGCTAAAACTGCACGACAAAATAAAAAACGACCAGATACGGCATATAATAAATCCAAGAGTTTAAAGATTGTGTGTTCATGTAAGCCCTATTTTTGAAAACTGGTGGTCAAAGAAAATGATGAAATTTAAACAATGCAGAGAAGAAAAAAAGGACCCCGACAAAAACATGGAAGGATAAGATTAGAAAAGCCACGAACGGAAGAAATCTACAAGATGAAGAAATGGAATGTTCATTAACCTTATTTTGAATTACCTTTTCCAAATGACAAGGACGACATGGAATACATGCTTAGAAAACTAATTGAAGAATACCAGAAATGGGGATTAAATATCAATTTAAAAAAAAATACCTCTCAATTGGAGCTGAAGAAGAACAACTCGATATCGATGACAATCAAAAAATAAATCCATGTGACGAATATAAATACCTGGGCGTCATCTTCGACCGTAGTGGAAAATACGAACGAGAAATAGAACATCGAATTGTAAAAGCACGAAGAGCTATAGCATGTTTGAACGGAGTTGTATGGAGTAAAGAAATATCAAAGAAAAGAAAATGGAACATCTATGCGACAATGGTTAAAACTAGCCTACTTTATGGAGCTGAGACATGGAGAATAACCGAGAAATATAAGAAAAAGATCGAAGCTACGGAAATGGATGCCATCAGAAATTCGATGAGAAGCCGACAGAATACGGAATGAAGTGATAAAACAACAAATGGGTATAGAGGGCACTATAGTTGAGGATATTGAGAGAAAACAGCTCATATGGTATGGGCATGTGAGCCGAATAAGGAACGAAAGATTGCCTAAAAAACAATGATGTGGCAACCCCCAGAGAAGAAGAAACGAGGAAGACCGCCACAGAGCTGGAACCTGGGAGTTAGGAAAGCGAGTAGCGCTCGAAATCTGGACGAAGACCTAACTCAAAACAGAATACAGTGGCGTTTGGGAGTCGGACAACGTCGTAAGACGTTATAAAACCGATATATATATATATATATATATATATATATATATATATATATATATATATATATATATATAATCTATTTAAACTGTTGTTTTACTCCCAAAGTCATTTATATCGTATAAATTTAATTTTGGGTCTTTTTTGGTCGTATAAAATTTGTCTCGTCCATCTTTTTTCTGGGCGAACCTTTCTAAACCTTGTTGTATCACAGAGAATAAAACTGTAGTAACAACATGGCTCCTACTATGGAGAACTTCATACCTATCTGAAACATCTTCAGCATCCAAAGAAGTATCTATGTCTAACTACAACTACAGCAACAATGATAAGAAATTACAAAATGGGTATTGCGCATGAGCACCAGCTTGTTTGAAAAAAGAAACAATAGATACAACAGTTGAAGAGGAAATCAACTGATGACAACTCTTTATATAATTTCATATTTCATCAGTTGACTAATACATTAGTGATCAGTTGTACTTTTGGTCAATGTTCAGTTTACCATAGAATTTTGAAATGTGTAGATCACATCAGCATATTTGTGACTGCCCATCCAAGTTGTCATATGTCAGATGTCACTTTAACATTTCCGTTAAGACCAGGAGCCATTCTCTCTCTTGTTGTCACCCAATATGTAGCTTCTTCAATTTTATAATCATTTTTAAACTGTTTGTCCTTTGTTTCGTGTTGTGTAAATGTATTAGTTAATGTTTATGACATTCACCAAATTGTTGGACAGCCTAATTTTGACGAAGTAAGCCTAAAACGTTATTACAAAATTTTTTATCAATCATCTTTGAGTTTTTTTGAAGTTAATTAATTTTTCTTCAGTTGAAAAAACGTTTCTTGGATTTCTTCTTATTTCAGATGCCCCTGAAGATGCTGTAGGTGCAAAAGTACTTAGACAAGATTTAATAAAAACTGTGATTAAAATTCATTTATTTGAGCATTCAATTTATATTTATTTCTTTTTTATATTTTAAACAAATTCAACAAATTATTATGTTTGCTCTTAACGCCAACCATTTTTCAGTTTCTAGAATAAAGTACTGATGGATATTGTAAATGATCCCTGGTACGTAAGAAGTAGCGACCTACACAGCTTCCTCGGGGTAGAAATGATCGCAGATTTGATTGTATTTGCAAAAAAAAAGGATGAAAACAGACGTCCTTATCATGCAAACGTAGAAGCTATTCAATTCGTGTATCAGCATGGAATGGTGAGAAGACTCAAAAAAACTAAACCTGTTGATTTAGTGTAAAACGTTTTCATCATAATCAACCTGTAAGCGTCCCCTAATGGACATAGGTCACCCTCAGCTCTTTCCATCTGTCTCTGTCTTATGCGGCTTGCATCCATCTAGTTGGTGGGCGTCCTCTACCCTGTACAG